ATGATGAGCGTTTTTTTCACATGTTTGTTGGCCTCATGTATGTCTTCTTTTGTAAAGCATCTGTTCATATCCTTTGCCCACTTTTGAATGGGTTTGTTAGTTTTTTTCTTGTAAATCTGTTTTAGTTCTTTGTAGATTCTGGATATTAACCCTTTGTCAGATGGGTAGACTGCAAAATTTTTTTCCTATTCTGTTGGTTGCCAGTTCACTGCAATGATTGTTTCTTTTGCTGTACAGAAGCTCTGGAGTTTAATTAGGTCCCATTTGTCTATTTTGGCTTTGTTGCCAATGCTTTTGGTGTTTTAGTCGTGAAGTCCTTGCCTATGCCTACGTCCTGAATGGTTTTGCCTGGGTGTTTTTCTAGGGTTTTTATGGTGTTAGGTCTTATGTTTAAATCTTTAATCCATCTGGAGTTAATTTTAGTGTAAGGTGTCAGGAAGCGGTCCAGTTTCTGCTTTCTGCACATGGCTAGCCAGTTTTCCTGATACCATTTATTAAACAGGGAATCCTTTCCCCATTGCTTGTTTTTGTCTGGTTTGTAAAGATCAGATGGTTGTAGATGTGTGGCGTTGCCTCTGAGGCCTCTGTTCTGTTCCATTGGTCTATATCTCTGTTTTGGTACCAGTGCCATGCTGTTTTAATTACTGTAGCCTTGTAGTATAGTTTGAAGTCAGGTAACATGTTGCCTCTGGCTTTGTTCTTTTTGCTTAGAATTGTCTTGGTTATGCAGGCTCTCCTTTGGTTCCAAATGAAGTTTAAGGTGGTTTTTTCCAGTTCTCTGATGAGGGTCACAGAACTGGACATTGAATCTATAAATTACTTTGGTCAGTATGGCCATTTTCACAATCTTAATTCTTCCTAACCATGAGCATGGAATGTTTTTCCATCTGTTTATGTCCTCTCTTATTTCGTTGAGCAGTGGTTTGTAGTTCTCTTGAAGAGGTCCTTTACATCCTTTGATAGTTTTATTCCTAGGTATTTTATTCTCTTTGTAGCAATTGTGAATGGCAGTCCTTTCTTGATTTGGCTCTCTTTTAGCCTGTTATAGGTGTATAGGAATGCTTGTGATTTCTGCACAATGATTTTGTATCCTGCGACTTTGCTGAAGTTGCTTATCAGTTTCAGGAGCTTTTGGGGTTAGATGATGGGGTCTTCTAAATATACAATCATGTTGTCTGCAAACAGAGACAATTTGACTTCCTCTTTTCCTAATTGAATACCCTTTATTTCTTTTTCTTGTCTGATTGCTCTGGCTAGAACTTCCAGTACTATATTGAATAGGAGTGGTGAGAGAGGGCATCCTTGTCTAGTGCCAGATTTCAAAGGGAATGCTTCCAGTTGTTGCCCATTCAGTATGATATTGGCTTTGGGTTTGTAATAGATAGCTTTTATTATTTTGAGATACATTCCGATAATACCTAGTTTTTTGAGAGTTTTTCACATAAAGGGCTGTTGAATGTTGTCAAAATCCTTCTCTGCATCTGTTGAGATAATCATGTGGTTTTTGTCTTTGGTTCTGTTTATGTGGTGAATTATGTTTATAGACTTGCATATGTTGAACCAGTCTTGCATCCCCGGGATGAAGCCTACTTGATTGTGATGGATAAGCTTTTTGATGTGCTGTTGCAATTGGTTTGCCAGTATTTTATTGAAGATTTTTGCATATGTTTTCATCATGGATATTGGCCCAAAGTTTTCTTTTTTTGTTGAGTCTCTGCTGTGTTTTGGTATCAGGATGATCTTGGTCTCATAAAATGATTTGGGAAGTATTCTCTCTTTTTGTATTGTTTGGAATAGTTTCAGAAGGAATGGTACCAGCTCCTCTTTGTATGTCTGGTAGAATTCGGCTGTGAATCCATCTGGATCTGGGCTTTTTTTGGTTGGTAAACTGTTAATTGCTGCCTCAACTGCAACCCTTGTTATTGGTCTATTCAGGGTTTCAACTTCTTCCTGGTTTAGGTTTGGGAGGGTGCAAGTGTCCAGGAATTTATCCATTTCTTCCAGGTTTACTGGTTTATGCCCATAGAGTTGTTTGTAATAATCTCTGATGATTGTTTTTTTTTTTTTTTTTTTTTTTTTTTTGTGGAATTGGTGGTGATATCTCCTTTATTGTTTTCTATTGCATCTATTTGATTCTTCTCTCTTTTTTATTAATCTGGCTAGTGGTCTGTCTATTTTGTTGATCTTTTCAAAAAAACCAGCTTCTGGATTTATTTTTTTGAAGGGTTTTTTTGTGTCTCTATCTCCTTCAGTTTTCCTCTGATCTTATTTATTGTCTTCTGCTGGCTTTTGAGTTTTTTTGATCTTGCTCCTGTAGCTCTTTCCATTTTGATGATAGAGTGTTGATTTTAGATCTTTCCTGGCTTCTCATGTGGGCATTTATTGCTATAAATTTCCCTCTAGACACTGCTTTAAATGTGTTCCAGATATTCTGGTATGTTGTGTCTTCATTCTTGTTGGTTTTTAAGAAAATCTTTATTTCTGCCTTCATTTCATTGTTTGTCCAGTCAACATTCAAGAGCCAGTTTTTCAGTTTCCATGAAGTTGTGCGGTTCTGAGTTTGTTTGTTAATCCCAAGTTCTAATTTGATTGCATTGTGTTCTGAGAGATTGTTATTTATGATTTCCATTCTTTTGCATTTGCTGAGGAGTGATTTACTTTGAATTATGTGGTCCTTTTTAGAGTAGGTGCAATGTGGTGCTGAGAAGAATATATATTCTGGATTTGGGGTGGAGAGCTCTGTAGATGTCTATTAGATTTGCTTGGTCCAGATCTGAGTTCAAGTCCTGGATATCCTTGTTAATTTTCTGTCTCGTTGATCTGTCTAATATTGACAGTGGAGTGTTAAAGTCTCACACTATTATTGTGTGGGAGTCTAAGTCTCTTTGGAGGTCATTAAGAACTTGCCTTATGTATCTGGGTGCTCCTGTATTGGGTGCATATATATTTAGGATTGTTGGCTCTTCTTGTTGCATTGATCCTTTTACCATTATGTAATGCCCTTCTTTGTCTCTTTTGATCTTTGTTGCTTTAAAGTCTGTTTTATCAGAGACTAGGATTGCAACTCCTGCTTTTTGTTGCTCTCCATTTGCTTGGTAAATCTTTCCAAATCCCTTTATTTTGAGTGTATGTGTGTCCTTGTATGTGAGATGCATTTCCTGGATACAGCACACCTATGTGTTTTGACTTTTTATCCAATTCACCAATCTGTGTCTTTTGATTGGGGTGTTTAGCCCATTTACATTTAAGGTTAATATTGTTATGTGTGAATTTGATCCTGCCATTTTGATATCAGCTGGTTGTTTTGCCTATTAGTTGATGCAGTTTCTTCATTGTATCGATGCTCTTTACCATTTGGTATGTTTTTGGAGTGGCTGGTACTGGTTGTTCCTTTCTATGTTTAGTGCTTCTTTCAGGAGCTCTTGTAAGGCAGGTCTGGTGGTGACAAAATCTCTCAGCAGCTGCTTGTTCTTAAAGGATTTTATTTCTCCTTCACTTAAGAAGCTTAGTTTAGCTGGATATGAAATTCTAGGTTGAAAGTTCTTTTTTTTTAAGGATGTTGAATATTGGCCTGCACTGTTTTCTGGCTTGTAGAGTTTCTGCTGAGAGATCACTGGGAGTCTGATGGGCTTCCCTTTGTGAGTAACCCGACCTTTCTTTCTGGCTGCCCTTAGCATTTTTTCCTTCATTTAACCCTGGTGAATCTGATGATTGTGTGCCTTGGGGTTGCTCTTCTTGAGGAATATCTTTGTGGTGCTCTCTGTATTTCCTTGACTTAAATATTGGCCTGGCTTGCTAGGTTGGGGAAGTTCTCCTGGATAATATCCCAAAGAGTGTTTTCCAGCTTGGATTCATTCTCTCCATCACATTCAGGTACACTTATCAAACGTAGATTAGGTCTTTTCACATAATCCCATATTTCTTGGAGGCTTTGTTCATTTATTTCCACTCTTTTTTTCTCAAATCTTTCCTTCTTATTTTATTTCATTGAGTTGATCTTCAATCTCTGATATCCTTCCTTCTGCTTGGTCGATTCACCTATTGAAATTTGTGTATGCTTCACGAAGTTCTTGTTGTGTTTTTCAGCTCCATTTAGTCAGTTATATTCTTCTCTAAGCTGTTTATTCTTATTAGCATTTCATCAAACTTTTTTTCAAGGTTTAGTTTCTTTGCATTAGGTTAAAACATGTTTTTTAGCACAGAGAAGTTTGTGATTACCCACCTTCTGAAGCCTGTTTCTGTCAAGTCATCAGACTCAGTCTCCATCCAGCTTTGTTCCCTTGCTGGTGAGAAGTTGTGATCCCTTGGAGGAGGAGAGGTGTTCTGGTTTTGGGTGCTTTCATCATTTTTTTGGGCTTGTTTCTTTCCATCTTTGGGGATTTATCTACCTGTGGTCTTTGTAGTTGGTGACTTTTGGATGGGATCTCTGAGTGGATGTCCTTTCTGTTGATGTTGAAGTTATTTATTTCTGTTTTTTAATTTTCCTTCTAAGAGTCAGACCTCTCTGCTGTAGGACTGCTGGAGGTCCACTCCAGACCCTGCTTGCCTGGGGATCACCTGCAGCAGCTGCAGAACAGTAAGGGTTGTTGCCAGTTTCTTCTTCTGTTATCTTCATCTCAGAAGGGTACCTGCCAGATGTCAGCCTGAGCTCTCCTTTACGAGGTGTCTCTTTGGGTATACAGGAGTCGGGGAGCTGCTTGAGGAGACAGTCTGTCCCTTATAGGAGCTTGAGTGCTGAGCTGTGAGCTCCATTGTTCTGTTCAGAGCTGTTGGGCAGGTAGATTTAAGTCTGCTGCAGCAGAACTCATAACTACCTTTTTTTCCCAGGTGCTCTATCCTGGGAAGATGGGGCTTTATTTATAAGTTCCTGATGTGCTGCTGCCTTTTTTCAGAGATGCCCTGCCCAGCGAGGAGGTAGCCTATTCACAGTCTGCCAGCAGAGGTGTTGCTGAGCTGCTATGGGCTCTGCCCAGCTGCTGTGTGAACTTCCTTGCAGTTTTGTTTACAGAGATATAGTTAGAACTGCCTCGGTAATGGTGGTCTGCCTCAGTAATGGCAGACTGTAATGATGGACTGACTTGGTAGTGGCGGACTGCCTCGGTAATGGTGGACTGCCTCCATAATGGAGGACTGCCTCTGTAATGGTGGACTGCCTCTGTAATGGAGGACTGCCCCAGTAATGGCGGATGCTCTCCCCCACCACAGAGTTGGACTGTCCCAGGTCCAGCTGCATTTGTTGTGAAATTTTCAATCCAGAGCATTTCAGATTGCTGGTCTTTGTGGGGTGGGACCTGCTGAGCTAGATCACCTAGCTCCTGTTTCAGCCCCATTTTTTCCAGTTAAATGGGCAGCTCTGTCTCCCAGGTGTTCCAGGGGCCTGTTGAAACAGCCGCCCAGATTTGTGTGAGTTTTTGTGCAGAGACCCACTGCACAGGCTGAAACAGCCATGCTGAAAACTCATGATGCTTTTCAGTCCAGCAATCTCCTGGTGTGTGGCAGTAAAAACTCGTTTGGAAATGCGGTGATCGCTTACCCTCTGTATGGTTCTTGTTGAGAACTGCACTCCAGAGCTGTTCCTATTTGGCCATCGTGGATCCTCCTGAGCAGCTCTGTCTACTTGAGTTTTAAACACACTGCATTACCTTTCCAGAGCTGATATTAGGGTCAATAGTTTGAATTTGGGTTTCAGAGGAGAAAGACAGAGGACCTATTATTACTGATGGAGAGCTCCTTTGTAGAAAGGAGGTGGAAGGTAGAGAATGGTGTATCCAGTGAATCTCCAGGGTCTGCAGAGATTTAAAAATATACGAATATAAATGTTAAGCTTGTAGCTTATGTCCTTTGGAATTGAAACACATGTTCTTTCACAAAGCAGCTTTGTGTGTCCTTGTCCTTTGGAAAATGCTGCCTCCTCGTCTGTTTACGTAAGAAAGGATGAAGGAGACAAGGAAATTAGGCAAGGACCCCTCACTATATGAATACGGGGATTTGTTTTAAGTACAGATTGATTGTCCAATCTTAAAGAACCCAAACTTGCGAAATGGGCTTTGAGTGCATTTTTCTTTTACCTTTTTTTTTTTTTTTAGACGAAGTCTCACTCTGTCGCACAGGCTGGAGTGCAGTGGTACGATCTTGGCTCACTGCAACCTCCGCCTCCCAGGTTCAAGTAATTCTCCTGCCTCAGCCTCCTGAGTAGCTGGGACTACAGGTGTGCGCCTGACTAACTTTTGTATTTTTAGTAGAGACAGAGTTTCACCATGTTGGTCAGGCTTGTCTCAAACTTCTGACCTTGTGATCCACCCATGTAGGCCTCCCAAAGTGCTGGGATTATAGGCATGAGTGACCGTGCTCAGCCTTGAGTGTATTTTTCTAATTTTACGATGTAGTGAAAAGCACCCAAACTTTGGAATTAGATAGACCTGGGCTCAAATTCTAGATTTATGATTTAATAGTTATTTGACTTTGGATAAGCCCTCTAACCTCGATTTTCCTCGTGTATAAAGTGTCAGAGAAAATAGCACCCCTTGAGGTTGTCATGCAGTGTAAACGAAGTGCTATTGATCAGGTCTCAAGCATGAAGTTTGGCACAGAGTGAAGTGGAGCTGTTGCCTGCTCGGACACAGTCATGTGGGCAAACACCTGCATTTCACACAGCCCACTCTGAAGGAACGTCTCACATCTTGCACTCAGTTGTGCATGCGCCGGCCTCCCCACCCGCACACCTGTTTCTTTTCGTAGCCCAGGGCCTGACATATTGGATGGAAATTCAAAATAAAATAATCTTTAGTAGTAACCTAGTTTCCAGGCAATATTCTCTTTATCTGGAATCTTGACAAAACATTTTCTTTTTCTTTTTTCTTTCTTTTCCTTTTTTCTTTCTTTCCTTTTCTTTCTTTCAGTTGTGCATTTCCAATGCTGTTTCTTCTTTGGTAAAATGGAGTCTCTCTCCAGGGACTGCTATGAGGATTACATGACTCAGACCTGTGAAGGGCCTGGCACAGGACCTGGTATAGTGCAGAAGTTTGGTGGGGGTGGCAAGGTGGGTGGTGGGAGTTGCGTGTTGGGACAGGTCCTCACTCTGTTGCCCAGACTGGTTTTGACATCTTGGGCTCAAGCAATCCCCCTGTGTTAGCCTCCCAAAGCACTGGGATTACAGGTGTGAGCTGCCATGCACAGGCTCATGCAGATAATTGTGTAAGTGCTTCTGAAAATTATGTCCAACTTGTGTACTTGCTATTACAGAATAGCTTTTGAGGTAATTTATGTTGAAATTTCTATCTTTTAAAAATGTGTTTCCATTACAAAACTAATACATGCTTCCTATTAAAAATTTGGCAAATATAGAAAATACAGACTCCTCAGTCTAACAATTGGCTCCTTTCTGAGGCTTCTGTGGAGCAGATTTGTGGTGGGCAATGTTCTTCTTGCAAGGCATGAGAAAACTAGAAACCTGGACTGGACTCCTCACACAGGCCTGCAGATGCAGAAATCCTCAGGGTTGGGCAGTCTGGACCTCGAGCGCATCTCCTGAGAAGGCTCCTGGGTTGTTTTGGAGAACATGGTCAATGATAGGCTTACCTATGTGATGGCTCTCATTTCAGTCAGCGTTTCTGAAGCCCCCCTCGGTGAAATCGCCCTGGCCGTAGAACTGATGTGGGCCCAGCTGTCCTACCACTCACAGCACCAATGCCTAGACTCAGACAGCTGTGGCTCCTGGTCCAGACAGCTGGCTCTCAAGCCCTGAGTTTAGTGGAGTTTGTCTAGTGTTGGTTTATAAAAGCCTATCGTGTCCATAAGATTCTGCCCACACTAATAGCCCTACTCAAGTCATTACAGCTGTCTCATCAGCTGCTTTGAAAACCTTCTCTCATTTTGGAGCACCCAACCACACGGAAACTCAGCCTGCTCTCTGGCTCAATGCACTGGCCGCTCCGTGGTGATCTAGTGGCTGTGTGTGGAAATGGCCCACATCAGCAGTGTGGCTGCAACACGTGCTCAGTGTCTTCTCTTTCTTTCCGTAAGTGAGGGAGGAGCACCCAACAATTTTATTCTTTTGATGCAACCTCAGAAAGAATTTCCAAATTGGTCCTTCCCATCTCTCCCCATTGTTTCAGTCTTCTTGAGGCCCTAACACATGCTACCCCTTAAGGTACTTTAACCCATTTGCAATCCACATTTTTAGTCCCACTTCCTGGAAAAAAAGGTAGCCAATACCCAGCTGCTGCCGTTTGCTGCCAGTCTATCACAACTGTCCATAAGTCCGTGCTCCTCCCATGCTCTTTTCTTTGCCAAGAATGTTCTATCTCTTGAAAAAGTCCTGCGATTTTGCCTAATCTGAATGTTGCTGCAGTGAAATCTTAGTTGACTCTGGAAAACTGTTATCCAGTTCTTCCCAATGCTCTCAGAGCCCGCGGCTTTGCCTCTGCTCCTGCCCTTATCGTGTGATGTGATTATCTGTTTACACATCTGTCTCCTCCCACTGGAATGTGAGATTGTGGAAGCCAGTGATAGCTCATACTCACTGGTGCATCCCCAGCGCCCAGCACACAGTAGGCATGTAGTGTTGATTGCAGGAGTAACTAGTCACTAGAATAAACATTCTTTTGCTCATGGAAAATGGCTCTCAGGCTAATGTGCTTTTGTGATTTTGCAAAAAATGGCAAAGTTCAAAGGGGAAAAAAGTTTTCTAACCTGTTGTGACATATAGCAAGAGATTTTATTGCATATTTCTGTTTTTATCTGCCATATGGCTTTCCATTCACAAACGGCTCTAGTGAGAATTACTTTTGCAGGTAATTTTCTAATGATTGTCATGGGATAAACAAATTTATCAGACTTGTTTGGCTAATGTATTCAAGGAGGTTCACAGGGGAAAAGATTAATCATCTAAGAAGCAAGCCGGTGTCTGTCATTAGGCGGAAGGGTCCAGAGAGATGTTCGGAGCTGAGCGGGTGGTTGCTATGACTGCAGATACCTTTCTCTTCCTTTGTGAGGTCAATGGCAGCTCCCAAGCTGATTGGCTAAAATTAGATTATCCTGCTGACCAACTATGGGGAGTTAATTTCATCAGAAAGAGAAAAATGGTAGGAAATCCTGCTATGATGCTACAAAGGAATTTTCTTTAGAAACCCACAGAGTCCAAGTTTGCTTTCATTATAATTAATATGTTCCTTCTAATAAAATAATTTAAGGGAAGCAGACAATAGCATTAGTCTATTATTTTGTGTATCCATATAAGCTTTAATCTTGTTTGTCCTAAAACCAGCTCTCAAAGTTAAAGTTACCTTTTTTTTTCCTGTAAATACCTCCATAACCAAAGACTGTCATCGTGTACGTGTTTATATAATTGGAGATGTCTAATTGTGCAAAACACAAAAGGAGCTGGCACAATTAAAGGTATCTGTTTGCAGGGCTCTTGCCCTAGGGAAATAGTGGGCACAAAAAACTTTAAGCAGAATCATTTACCTTTGGATTGAGAGCATAGTTTTAATTGAATTTGAATAGAATTCTGCCTTCCAAAGGGTTCTTTTCCTAGAAGTCTTATACTGCCTACCCTCTGGCTTTCCACCTGGTATATCCTTTGTTCTGGAAATTAATCACCACTGGCCTGTATAGGGAAAATTTATTTCTGTATAGGGAAAATACAAACTTAGTTCATTTTGGAAAACAGAATGTTGTCTGTTTGCAGGCTCTACTGAGTTGTAAAACTAAGCAAATGTAAAACACAAACCAAAAAAAACCAACCCAAAGGTTTTTTTTATTTTTTTGCTCTTTTGTGACTATTGAAATAAAATATGATTAAGAAAGAAACTAGAATAATTTGTACCTCAAACAACCATGACATGAGTTGTCCTGTATGGCAAACCTGCACATGTACCCCTGAACCTAAAATAAAAGTTAAAAAATAAACAGAAAATGAGCTAATATTTATTGAATTCTGGATACGCTACATGCTTCTATCTATATGACTGTCAAATCAACATGTTTTGAAAATTAAATTAACCTATTGAGATACATTTGGTTGTATGCTGAAGGGGTCATGAGAGGGACTGAAGATGCCCCTTTCCTGAAAGCGATGGTCGGGGAACTGGAGATGAGCATGTATGTATAAAAGGCAGTGATGAACTCCAGGCAAAATAAAAACATAATTGAGCAGTCATTTCAAATAGGAAGCACTATGGGAATTCCTAGGAAGAGAGTGAGGCTACCATGGCTGAAATGATCCAGCTCCAGATATTTCTTACAGAAGACTGGGGAGGGAGATGAGGAGATCACCATGACGACGTGTGTGACGTTACACGCCAGTGAGGATTTGGGGAAGTAGGACAAAACACCACAGTTCCATCACCCTCGTAATAATCACTGTATCATCCTTATCTATTGAGTGCTTATCCTGTTTCAGCCACAATACTCATTTACCTCCCCACAACACTCCCATGAAATAAGTTATTGTTTTTATCATTATTATTGCATTGTCATTAATGTGAGGAAATTGAGCCATAGAGATCAATCCATCTAAATTCACAC